AACTTGCCATGCCACGTGAAGCCGTCGACTATCGCCGACATCAACGCTGCCGGCACAACGTACACGAATCGGTGAGTGAGCGACCCGGTGCGGGTAGGGCGTGCTAACACAGCGGGCGGTCTAACATGGGTGGGTATGGGTTAAGTGTGAGTTATGGCGGTGTAACATGGGTGGTTGTGCGTAAGGTGTGAGTTAGAGCGGTGTAACATTGGTGGGTGTGAGTTAGGGTGGTGTAACATGGGTGTGTGAAAGTTAGGTGTGAGTTAGAGTCTTGTAACATGGGTGGGTGTGAGTTAGGGCGGTGTAACATAGGTGGGTGTGGGTTACGGGGGGTGTACCATGGGTGTGTGTGGGTTACAGGCCGTGTAAGATGGGTGGGTGTGGGTTAAATGCGGTGTAAAATTCACATACCGATAGTGTAAAATTGCGACGTGTTTTGTGTTTCAGTTACTTGATAGGTGTGTGTGTGTTTTTTTAATTTTTGTTTGGGTTATCCTAACCCAATTATCCGTGCTAGGCAATAAACACCAAACGTACATCACAACAGCGTTAACTTTTGACATTGTATATCAATGCGACTGGTAGGCTGCTGTCTCTATCTCTCTTTCTTTCTTTCTTTCTTTCTTTCTCGTTCTCTCTTTCGATCCTCTCTCTCTCTCTCTCTTTCTTTGTCTTCCATCACCCCCTTTCTCGTTATTTCTTTCTTTCTTTCTTTCTTTCCCTCTCCATCTTTGTTTTACTGTCGCTTCTCTCTTTCTCTAGGCGATGAATGCGTCATCATGGTATGTGTTTCATTATATCGCAGTACGATCAGTGGCATCATAGACATGGCGACGATCGCTCTTGGCACCTGCGCCAACATCGGTGATGCTAGCGTCGCGTACACTAATGGAGAAAACAACATAGAGTTAAAGCTTGCCTTTAAGGTGCGAAATCGTAGCCTTTAGATCTATCCTTAGCGTGGTGGCGCCCCCCTTTGTGTCAGTAGCCACGTGCATGCCATGAGGGCGCCACGTGTACGGTATCGGGGTGTCCCATGCACAGCAGTCGTATAGGGGTAGCAATGGTTAGTAACATGGCATAACAATTGTTTAGACTTAATCGTAATACTGGTATATAATTGCTGTTGTTTCTAATTACGATTCCAAATACCTGTCAGCTTAACGAGCGGACTTGCGTTGATTCCAGCTTGCGAAAGATTCGGATCTTGACACAATCAGCAAGGTGTCTGCCGGAATGCAGTACAGTGCGGCGGATCCGTGGATAGACCTAATGCCTTTCACCACAGTCGATACTTACACGCATGTGAGTAAGATTTCCTACTCGTTATAGACATTTTCAACAGCATTTCATAGTTTTTTTTATCATTCTGCGTAGAGAGTCGAAGTTGTTTAATTATCCATTGCGCTCGAAGCAAATTTTTATATTTGTACTTGCTGGACGTACACGCACACACACACGCACGCGCACTCCCCCTACACCCACATGTATACACGAACGCACGCACGCACACACGCAGGTGCGCGCACGCATACGCGCTCACACACATACACACACACACACACACACACACACACACACACACACACACACGCACACACACACCTACACACACGCACACACACTCCCCCTACACCCACATACACAAATGCATGCACTTACACACACGCGTGCACGCACGCACACACATACCCCCCCCCCACACACACACGCTATTATGGTATTTGTTGTTCCTGCTTTCAGGGGGAAATTGATGGCAGTACCTACTCCGTCAGTCCCGTCGACCAGCCGCTCGCCGCGCCTCTTGTTAGGGTATTCTACAGAGTGAAGCTGCCACGTGGTTTCCGCACGCACGCGGCGGTGGAGATTAGGGCTAGCACATACATGAGCATCTGTGACATCAAGCTGATCTCGGTATAGATATGGAGAGATAGATAGACCTAGAGTCGCAGTGTCGTACATATCCAAATCACATATAGAATCTCAACTAAATCTCATATACAGATTAATCTCACACCTGTAGTATTACACCAATATATGCAAAACACATAAATCTCACACCTGTTCTATATTACACCAATATATGCGAAACACATAAATCTCACACCTGTACTATATTACACCAATATATGCGAAACACATAAATCTCACACCTGTAGCGTGCGTGCATGCGTACGTGGATGCGTGCGGGTGTGCGTGCGTGCGTGCGTGTGTGCATGTGTACATGCATGCGTTCGTGCGTACGTGCGTGCGTGCATGCGTGCATGCGTGCGTGCATGCGTACGTGGATGCGTGCGTGCGTGCGTTTGTGTGAATCAATGACGCTCCTATAATAGGCTGAAGGTTAGAGCTACGTCGACGATATCGGACACGGTGGCCATCAGCATCTGTGACATTTCGTTCACCGCCGGAATCAACATCGCCTACCTGCCGCCCAGGGACGCAATGATCTACACGTACACAGATACCACGTCGGCACTGGGTAAGAATTAATACTGCAGCGACAAACACTACTAGTAGATTAGGGGGGGGGAGGGTCTTCGTTCATCAATTTTACATCGAACGATAGGTTCGCGCAATGAATTCGTTCCAAAAAAATTATAACTTCCGGTAATTAATTAATTAGATTAATTCTAGTTAACCTCGATCATCGATCGATTTTATTCTTACTTTGCAACATCGTTTCTTGGAAGCGATATTACATTGAACGTTTTTTTTTTCACATAGTATACCTAGGAACGAATGTCATTTTTTTATTACTAGAACTCACTGCTTTATTTCAACTATTATTTCCTAATTTCTTATTCGAATAGATGTTTTATTTTGAAGACTATTTATGTGCAAGACTATTTCAATATAATGTCTTTGCGGAGATGACTCTTTGATCTTGGTTCTATGTCCATATTTTATCAGTTCTGTAACATCTGTTTTGCACATGTTATATTGCATTAGTAATTGCAGATAGTTTTAGTTGTAAATAGGAGAAGGGTTGGGCGTTTAGCATATAGGTTAGAAACAGCCTAGGTTGGAGAATTAGGCAGTTAGCAGATAGATTACAGACGATAGGTGGCGCATGTACATGTGCTGGACATATGTACGGTAGCGCGTACTAAGACGAATGAGAGTTGTGCGTAATTGGTTGTGCAGAGTAGAGCTTGTTGGTGATTGGACGGGAGAGTCATATATATAGCAAGAGAGCGATTTGAAGAGGGAACGCGGAGCGAGAACTGACGGAGATTGACGTAAAGACGGTTATATTTGTAAACAATATATCTTTTAGTGAACACAAATGATACTTCTTCTCGATTCTTTTAATCTAAATTATTACATATAAACGCGTCTTTACAGTTGTTCGCGCCGACGTGAGCTTTACAGGGCATTTGTCGATTGCCAGTTAAGTTCCCTAGTATACAAGCATCGCCTACATTCACGAGCAAATATGTCTCGGGTTAAGCGTCTATACGAGGTCTTAACTCGGGTTAAGTTTTAACCCGGGTTAAGCCTTAACGTGGGTTAGCTTAACCCCGCGCGATGAGGGGGGTTAAGCTAACCCGAGTTAAGACTCGTGTAGACGCACGCGAAATCGTTAACTCGAGTTAAGCGGTAGTTATCAGTAGACTCCGTGTAGACGACACGGTAGACGTTTCTTAACTCGGGTTAAGTGTTAACTCGGGTTAAGACAAACTCCATGTAGACGATGCGTGTTTCTTAACTCGGGTTAAGTGTTAACTCGGGTTAACTTAACTCTGGTTAAGGTAACTCCGTGTAGACGAGGCTACAGTCTTGATTTTCCCATTGCAGGATCAGGCAACAGCGAGGTAGTGGCGGAATTATACCGCATCACGAACACTGGGAATTATCCATCAGTAGTGAACCCAGAGTTCAATATCATATCTGGCACGGTCAGCGTTTTGGTGAGTCAGTGTGTACGGTCATGGTAAAGCCGGCGTGTGCACGTGCAGGGTTACAATTAAATTGACTACGTCACGAATTGTCTATGGTGTATATTTGTAAAATTATTGTTGCTTTTTTTTTACATGAAAAGTAAGTACTAATGGCACTAAATGTTTCCTCAAATTCTTACCTGATAAGATTGTTTTTCGACTAGTTAATAATCCAACAAATCTGGGCCAGTTGATATGTTTATCACAACATTAAATGCTTGCTATGGGCTATGTAGGGTATGAGTCACGAGTGACGAGTGTTTGTTCACAATCGAACGGAATAGCAAAATAGCAAGTATAATACAGCAATTTAACCATGAAAAGTGAACAGAATCACTTACAATTTATGAAAAAGGGGACATGATTTTTTTTAACTTTTACTGTTACTTACTTACTACTTGCTTAAAAGTAAGTTAAGGTTGCGGTCAGAGTTAGGGTTAGGGCTATGGTTAACATGATGGTTAGGGTTAGAGTTAAGGTTAGGGTTATAGTTAATGTTAGGGCTAGGGTTAATATTATGGTTAGGGTTAGAGTTAAGATTGTCGTCGGAGTTAGTGTTTGGGGTTTAGAATTGTTCCGTGACGACTCACTCGTGTACGCAAGCAGAATGACTACTGTATGCGCTTTATATACTGCGCTGGTTTAATTTTCGCGAATTTCGCGAACGGGTCCCCGACCGCGAAAATAGCAATACGCGAATAATTCATACCGAATAATACCTACAGCATAATTCATAATTCACCGACCGCGAAATCAACCACTCGTGAAATTGTTCGTCAAGTCTGAATTCGCGAAAATATCTGTACGCAAAAAATACGTGTGGTTTGGTTGCAGGTCGTGGATGGTCTCTCGCAGTCCACGTCGGTACTGATTGAAGTTTACTACGATTACAACACCGCCTATGGTGGCATGCACTCTGAAACCATCGACATCTCAACCACAGCCATTGTCTACACGCCATCTTCCTCCGTGAGTGACTGCCTATATTGCAATAATTTAAGCGGTAAGAGAGAGAGAGAGAGAGAGAGAGAGATAACATGTGAAATGTTATTACAGGTGGCATCTATGCGCCTTACAACTCGGACGTCCTCATCGATGATGACGACCTGCTCGTGTTTGAGGTGACGGGGATGCTACAGAGCGGCTACGGCAGCAGCGAGACCATCACCGGCTCTCTGATCACATCCTCGGCCACGCTAGCGCTTCCTACGCACAACGTCGGAGCTGCTGCTGCCACCGCGATGGTACGTACATACACTCAGTGACTGTCCGCCTGACGAGGTAAGCAGGGCTGTGTACCACACAGGCACTTAGAACGTTTCAATAATAAAATTAAGGGTAAATAAACACGAAATATATTTACTACCAATGTCGTTTTTTTCTTTTTTCTTTCTTTTTTTCTTTGTTGTTTGTGCATAGCGGCGTGCTTGCGGTGTACTTGTGTGTTGTAGAGGAGCAGTTGAACGGCATTTACAGGAAATTATCGGCAATAATAGGCGAAAAAGAATAGAGAAACATTGAGACTTTGGTACTAAATACATTTCGTGTTTATTGACCATAATTTTTTTTTATTAAGACGTTCCAAGTGCCTGTGGTTTACGACTTGTGGTGACGGTACGTACATAAACTGCTTTACGAGTTCCGACTGTGCTTGGCGCGCATGTCCATTAAGGCGGTATAATGCAAGTGCGATGTATTAAGTGCAAATGAATAGCGAACGAGAGTGACGTCACGATGTGAGCTATAACCAGCGATAATGTGCAAGGCATTTGTTTTATCACGCAGTCGTCGTCGTTTGTTCTTGCAGGGGGGCGCAGCCATAAGCGTGCTTTCGTTCACGGACGTGGCATCAGGGGGCGCCACGGGTATTGTGGGAATCGGCGGCATCGCATCAATGGAACTGAAGCTGGATGTTCCCGCAAATAGCATTCATGGCGTTGTCATCGACCTGTCCGGTATGCGATTGGTTGCTCGGTAGCATAGATACAGGGGGCAGCACCTCCGTATGATCGGATCGTCTGGAGCTACGGATGCGTGGCTTCACATCCTCCTAAGCTACGCAGACTTATGTGGAGGCGTGCTCTCTCACTTTCCTTGTTGGTGTATTTACCCTTAAACCGACAACAACACCATGTGTTTCTCCAACCGCTGTGAGCCATCTAGCTCCAAACAGCTGACAGAAATCTAATTACGTTGATGTTACTGTTATTACGCTAATAAGATGCCCGGGTGTGTACTCGCCTTTTTTGGGGGTAGGGATGCTCCACCTAAATGGGGAAATTGAGGGCAAAAAGATGGCTCGACGGTGAAAATATGGGGTAAAAAGATGGCAAGAGCTTTTAACATGGACACCATTAGTGACAAACTTTATTTGGTCGTTACAGTGACAGAACAAAGTCTGCTGGACTTCTGCGGCATCAGGACTATCACTATTGGTGACAACATTCCCTGTGTGAAGGAGGAACTGTTTCGTGAACACCAGGATATTGTTATGAGGTACGGCAGTACCGCAATGTTGGTATTTAACGTGGGGACTACCGTCTACCTGCCTCTTAATGCAATAATTATGTATTATATAATGTATAATTATATTAATTTAATATATTTATTAATTTATACTTTGTAATCCGTGGTATAGTTAATGAGCGCTCTTGTTCGAATTGTCTATTTTGTTAGTGGTCGACTTTGCCTTTATATAAATGTGCGATTTAAAATACTCGCCGACTAAACGTGATATTGGACCATAATGAGAATTTGCCCCCAGGTGGTACCAATCTATGAAATTTTGGGGTCTGGCTTATAGACTAGTATGACCTGACGCGATGTAACATGACGTGACGCAAAATAACATAACATGACGTGACGTGACGTGACGTGACGTGACGTGACGTGATGCGATATAATGTGACGTGACGCAAGATAACATAACATGACGTGACGTAACGTGGCGTGACGCAATGTAACGTGACGTGACGTGACGTGAGCATGTAAAGTGACGTGAGGTGTGGGTGTTGACGCATGTAACGTGACGTGAAAGGTGCGATGACGCATGTAACGTAGCGTTGACGTGAGGTGCGCAATAGTAACGGTTGAGTGACGTGTGAGTGATCGTGATCGCAATGTAACGATGAGTGACGTGGGCGCCGAGCAATGTTAACGTGACGTGACGTGACGTGAACAATGTAACGTGACGTGAAGTGAGGTGCGCAATGGTACGATGACGTGAAGGACGCATATAAGTACGTGACGTGAGGTGACGCAATGTAACTGGGACGTAAAGTGAGTGACGCAATAGTACAGTTGACGTGGAAGCGACGCATATAACGTGACGAGACGCGAGTAACGCAATGGTGACGTGACGCGACGTGATGAATGTGAGCGTTGGGTAACGTGACGTGCGAGACTCGACCTTGATCTGATGTCTGTTTTTAAGGACATTGCAACACTACTGATGTCACTGACCTCACCTGATTTTACTGACTCACTGACGTCACCTGACTTACTGATTTACATGGACGTGGCGCGGGCGGGCCTTGACCTCACTGACGTCACCGTTGACTTCCAACTACTTCACTGGCTCACCGACGTTAACCTGACTTTACCTACGTCACATGGCTCACCTAACGTTACCTATTAACACTGGACCTGCACCTGCGTACTGACTTTTATCTGACATTTAACCTGATCTCACCTGACTCGTTAACTGAGTCCACTGACTTTACCTGGACTTTACTGACTTACTGACTTTACCAGACTCACGTGACGTCACTGACCTCCTTGATGTAATAATGCATGGAATGCGATCATGGTGTGAGGCAGGTTGTACGTACGTCTGACGCCAGCCTAGTCTTTTCTCTAGGAATATGACTCCGTTAATTCCTACCCTGCTGCTAGGTATTGCCCAGATGTGATGAGTTATATATCTTTATAATTTATATATTAATACTTATATTTATATTATGTATATTAATATATTTAATTATTTAGTATATTTATACATTTTTGATTATATATATTGAATATATATATATAATATATCAGGGTAGAAATAGGGAAGGAGTGTGACGTTCAATAAAGCAAGGGAAACGTAATTTTTACTAATCCTTAGAATATCTACGATTTTACTACGCGTAATGCAAGCCAACCTGAGCTGCAAATCGTCACTAGTACTATTCGCGTAGCATCGGCGAAATCGTTCTATCGGTATTACACTGCATCCGGAGATACAGACTAAAACATACGAACGATTATCCATTTATTGGCCATCAATCCGAAAGTATTCCCCTCGAAGCTTTAAACAAAAGCAGCTACTACCGTTCTTGACTCACTCAGGCGAGGCGGTGTGGTCGCTGGGAGATTAGAGCTGGAGCTGCTGCTGATTGCGGTGAACGTGCGTTGCGTGGCGGGATACTCGCTGTATGCCGGTATCCAGTATGTGCTTGTATGGCCGGGTCAAAAGTATTCGCGAGTGGTTGCGTGCGATGTCCAATGCTCACACGCGAGCCAACGCTGCGCAGAGTGAGCAGAGGCGTTGGTAGCTGCTTTTGTTTCAGTTCGGCGGGGAATACGTTCGGATTGGATGGCAAAGAATGGATTAGTCCTGTTATCTCCGGATTGCTGGTGATAGCGATGGGAAACGATTTCGCACGCATGCAGGCCGAATGCTCGTGTTACGATGTTTGAGCTCAGGGTTGGTTGAGTTAGCCTAGTAAATTCGTAGGTATTCTAAAGGCTAGTAAATGACGAATTTCCCTTGTTTTATTGAGAGTGCACACTCCTCCTATTATCTACTCCTGATATATATAATATATATATATATATAAATACCTTTCTCTTGCTTGCTATAGCTCTGGCTCGACGACGTACGACCAGCTCACTGTAAATGTCGGTCTTGTTTGTAACACGGGTCTGCTGACGGAGCCAGTGCAAAACCAGGTACGTACTTTGTCTGTCATTCGATCTTTACAACAATCCATAAGAATAATTGTGTGTGTGTTGTGTGTGTGTATGTGCGTGCGTGCGTGCGTGCATGAGTGCGTGCGTGCGAGTCGTGTGTGTGCGTGTGGTGTATGTGTGTCTGTGTTCGTGCGTGCGTGTGTGTGTAGTAGTACGTATGTACGTATACGTGTGTGCGTGTTACGTACGTACGTTCACGCGCGCTCGCCACACACGCGCACACACACATACACACACGTCACAATCCCTGCGATAGCTAGGGCAGAAAATTCTGGTCTTATCCTTTATTCATTCTGTGCTCAGATCTTGATAAAGGCGTGCTTCAAGTGTCGTTAGATCACACGATCCCCCTTGACAGCCGTTCACAGGTCAACCGCTGTCATAACACAGGACGGGCGCGTCGCAAGCAGCATCCACGATTGAACTACACGATGTATTCCTCCTACCGAGGAGCCGAACACGATGTACGTAGCTTGCTAGCATATTATATATTAATATATACTATATATATATATATATACATGTGTGTGTGTGGTTGGGTGCGTGCGTGCTGCTGTGCTGTGTGTGGGTGTGTCTGTCTGTGTGGTGTGTGTGTGTGTGTGTGTGTGTGTGTGTGTGTGGTGTTTGTGGAGTAGTGACGTGTGATGAACTGACTGATCTGCTGGACTGACCTGACTGACCTGGCGGCGGCGGGAGACCGAGACCGACCGACCGACCGACCGACGCCGACCGGACGACGACGACACGACGCGACCGCACGACGACGACCGCGACACGACCGACCGACGCGACCGACCGACCACCGACCCGAACGCGAACCGACGAACCGACGAACCGACGAACCGGACGAACGACGAACGAGAACGACGAACCGACGAACGACGAACCCTCACCCAGCCCAGCAGCGCGACGAACGACGAACCGACGAACCGAGCGACCGAGGCGACGACACGACCGACGACGGACGACCGACGCGAGCGACCGAGCGAAGATCCGACCGATCCGACCGAACCGGCACCGACGGGACCGATCGACGAACGACGACACCATGGACGACGACGACGACGGAGCGACGACGACTGACGACCGACGACGACGACGACGGACGACCGACGAGACGACCGACGACCGTACGACCGACCGACCGACCGCGAGCGACGACCGACCGACGAGACGCGACGACGACGGACGACGACCGGACCGATCCGACGACGACGACCGACGACGACCGACGACCGACCGAACGACGACCGACGACGACTGACCGTCGACGACGGCGAAGACCGACCGACGACGACCGACGACCGACCGACGACCGGGTACGACGACGACCCGGACGACGCGCGACCGACGAACGACGAGCGATGCCGAGCCGACCGACCGACCGTGACGATCGACCGACCGACGACCGAGACGACGACCGACCGCGGCAACCGACGACGAGCGACGACCGGAACGACGACGACCGAGAGACGACGACGAGGCGACCGAAGCGACGGACCGACGACCGACGACCGACGACCGACCGACGACGACCGACGAACCGACGAGTTGACTGACTGAGTGAATGAGCTGAGTGAGTGTGTAACTAACCATGAATGATGTGAGGTGAGTGAGGTGAGTGAGTGTAGTGATTGTGCTGACTGACTGACGACTGACTGATGTCTGACTTGACTGACTGAGCGAGCTGAGCGAGCGACCGAGCGACGACGACCGACGAGCGGATTCGAACGAAGCTTACCGACGACGCGGATCGAACGACGGACCGACGGACGACCTTACGACGACCGACCGTCCGACTGGAGGATGTGAGTTACTGACTGAGTCGATGTGGACGACGCAGCGAGCTACGTCGCTACGCCCGAGTTACGTCGCCATTTTATTGCAGCGGTCAGCCAGGCGGCGCTGTCGACGTCGGCCACGGATACGCTGTCCCTAGCTCCTGGTCGGCTGGAAACCTTCACCGTGACGATCACGCTGCCACTGGAGTCCATCTACGACGTTGACTTTGACGTTGAGGTGCGTGTCACAGGCCGTGGCAACATAATACCTGGCTAGGGTCGTCGGCCAGCCGTCCTAACTCACTCTCTGAAAACCTCCGGTGTTGTTGCACCGCCATGGGCTGCGTGTTGCATGTATGTTGCTGCGTGTTGCTGTATGTTGCTGCGTGTTGCTGTATGTTGCTGGTAAACCTGCTCTTCGTTAGAGGGCAAGCACCCCAGCCTCCCAGTGGCGGATCCAGAAGTGAATTCTATGGGGGACGGGTGAATCATGCGAGCTCAAGGGCACGAAGTGCGCTATCGGGGAGGGTGTTAGGCTAAAATATCCTTCGCCTGAAAATTTTAGTAGTGGGAGGGGGCGACACCCTGTGCCCCCTGTGCCCCCGCCACTGCTGAGCTAATCTCGACTCAGAGAAAATGCCGAACGTACAATCGCAGAATCCCAGATGACTACGTTTATCGACAATCGTGGCGTCACCTACATAATGGCATCAAGCACTAATAATACATATATAGCATATATATATATGTAATATCAAGAGCGTATTAAGAATGACGCTTCTTATTCTTAATACGCTCTTGGTAATATAGCGTACGGTTAGTTCTTGATAGCATCCAAATATACAGACACAGCCTTTGCGACGACTCGTGATGTCTCTTGTGCAAGAAGCCAGGCATGTGCTCGTGCATGGAATTGTTTTATGTGATTTTTTTACACACGCAGTAATTTTACACACGGGGATTTTTTTACGCACGCGGTAATTTTACACACGGGGATTTTTTTACACACGCAGTAATTTTACACACGGGGATTTTGAGCTCACCTTGACATCGTCAAGATGAGCTATTGCTATGGGGCGTTGTCCGTCGTACGTCCGTCCGTCCGTCAACATTTGGCTACTGTCAACAATAACTTGAGAACCATTTGATCCACATGTTTCAAACTGTATACTACTTTTGTATACAGTTGTTACTCCTATCGGAGAGATGTGAACGTCCTATTTTGGAGCACGCCAGTTGATCTACTTTCGAGCCACGCTCGATCAACGGATTTTGCTCATTTTTTATATCTGAATGAATAAGGACTGGCCCTAAAACATATCACAGGGGTTTTGATATTTCTTTTAAATTATGCAAATTGGGTAGATTTTGGCAATTTCACTATGCATTTCAGTGTTTGCCTACGGTCAACGATAACTCAAGAACCGTTTAACCCACATGTTTCAAATTGCATACAGTTGTTACTCCTATGGGAGAGATTTGAACGTCGAGCCACGCCCACTTTTTGGCAAAAATGAAAATGGCCATCTAGATTTATTCGATTTTGTTAAATTTTGGTATGTGAATGTGTAAGTTGTTACGCCTATGGGAGAGATGACAACGCCCTATATAACGTTTATTTCGTCTAACTGGTTTAAAATAACTCTGCAATCATACCTACGTGTAATATTGTGTTTTAGATTCTTCGTTACAGTAATTTGACTGGAATATTTTATATTTTTTATTTGCGCGATATTAGAAAAATGGCGATCATTTAGGCTAACGCTCTATTAGGAGTGATCCCAAATTTGATATCATTAATGATTAATGATTAATGATTAATGATTAATGATTGATAATCCTAACCCTAACCCTAACCTAAATGACATTAAACCACAAACTAATATATGACCATGACCATGACCATATATATATATATATATATATATATATATATATATATATATATATATATATATATATGAATAT